AAAGAAAGTAGAATGAGGCTTTACAAAAAAACTTGATTGGATATTGTGGATTGTTCTAGTCAACAGGTTCAACATAACTTTTAATCAGGAAACCCTGCTTAACGCAACCCTACTAGCCTAAACATGAGTTCAACCGATGGTCTGATAGAGAACATAGGTAGAAATGTCTCTCTACTTTATACAACTGTTTTGTCCTTTTGTATCATGTAGAAAAATATTTCAATTTCTCAAATTCAGGCTTTATATATATATATATATATATATATATGAGGTGGGAGGTGTTTGTACCTAAACTGAAGTATTACAAATCTATCAAAAACAAATGTATTCTTTTAACAAATTGTTGACAAAAATGGCAAAAACCTAAACACAGCCAAAGGAAAAATCTCCCTGACTTGTCAAACAATAAACCACATTGTTTGTAATATAAGTCACATTTTGTGCCATCTAGAAAATAACTGAGTGATCAGGCTGCTTTTTTATAACCTCATGTCTCTAATTGCTGACCCCGGCTTGCTTCACTAGCACAGTTATTGTTGGCCTGCATCGTGCGCATGTCCGCCGGGAATTAAACGAATTAAGACTCTTAAGGTGTTAATGGTATATGCATTTAAATCATCGAGAGAAATGCCAATAAATCTGCGATCAAGATCAACCACAAACAACAGCATCCTTGCACCGTCTGATGCACACGATTACCTCCATCTTACTTGGGGTTCTGAGCACTTTCCTTCCTGCCCTCTTTCAAGAGCCATTTCATTCTGTTTAGGAATCATTGTAAATTGAATATTTTCGAGTCCCCACTTGGCCGTAAGATTAGTAATTTATAATGAAAATATTATAAGTTGCAGCATAACAAGGATTTAATTCTCAGGGGGAATTCTTAGAAATTATCACCTGTTTTCGTTGAGAATCTGCCAGGAAATGAATTGTCAAGAGGAATTAAGTTCAACTGTGTGAATCAAAATATTGTAAATATCATTTGCTGCTAGGCTTTGACTGAAGTCCAATCACAGGACACATGTCAAGACATCTTTAGTCCTTAAAACGAAGACTTTATTAGACTCTAAAAAATCCTCCTTTCGTTGAACTCTCTGTCCGTTTGTCTGTCTGCGCCCCGTGCCTTCCCCGCAGTCTGGCCCAGATCCTGCTCAAATTGGATTTGGAACCATTAGTGTCCCAACTCGAAGCATATGTTCCAAGTTGCTGAGCATTTCATTTCACGAGACGACGATGAGGGGGATGCGGGAGAAAGAAAAAAAACACAGACGGCGCAGAAAAAATAAACCAGACCCAAACAGGGCTGGACTGAGTCTGACACGTGTGTGTGTGTGTGTGTGTGTGTGTGTGTGTGTGTGTGTGTGTGTGTGTGTGTGTGTGTGTGTGTGTGTGTGTGTGTGTGTGTAAACGCTCCACATGCATGTTATCATATGCAGTTCAGGGAGCGGTACCTTTCACACCACATAAAAGAAGCTGCTGTACTCCATCACTGAAATCTAAATATTCTGTCTGGGGGGGGGAAGGGGGGGCGGGAGATCAGAGCAGGGGTTGTATTTCAAATGGCGGGCAACTCCCTCGCTTTTTTCTCCCTCCCTCTCTTTGCTGTCAGAGAAGCAACAACTTTATTTATGTCTAAATACTGTGGATGCAGTGAACGAGAACCCCTAAGCAAGTCGGATCATTATCTCTCAAAATCTAAACAAGCCTTTCTTTTCCCAGAACAGAGCGCGTATTCTATAAGCACTTAAACATAGTGGGGGGATGGGCTTATGGTCGTGTGTGTGTGTGTGTGTGCGTGCGTGCATGTGTGTGTGTACGTGATCCGGGGTTCCCAGTCTGAGTTTAAGAATGGCAGGGTAAAACACTGCAGGCTCTGTGGAAGCCAGGAAACAGCCTAATGTATTTATCCAAACACATATCTGCTGAGAGGCCCCATGGCTTCAACACATCCCCTTCCTTCACTTTCAAAAACCACCGCAGCGAAAATGGAAAAAAAACAGCAGGGCTTCACAAAAAATGATTGTAGTGATTATTAGGATAAACCTTGTGATTATTTATTCCAAGTTTCAGGAATTTTAACTGCATTTCTGTCCAGACCTCTACACTGTCACTGTGACATTTTCCTACGCAGTATTTTTCAGACCAGCTGAACAAATATAGTTTTCACTTCGGCTGCCTTTTAGTATACAGCTACTTATCATTTTAAAAATATCATCCACAATCTGTTCCTCTTTCATCTAGAATAAAACTCAACTGTGTCTGGATGACTAATGTTTTCAGGGGGATTCATTCTTTTCGCACTTTGCTGGTTTCTATCTTTTCACAGAAAGACATTCGTTATCCCTTTGTATGCTATAAAAGAGGTGAAGGAACTAATAGAACACTGTAGACTAAAAGGCTGAGATGAACCATAGCGAGACTTTCCGTGGAACAGAAACAACATCTGTCAATCAAATTACGGTAACAATATAATTATAAATCCAAAAATAAGCAGTCAAATGTAGTCATAAACAATACCTTGCAGAGGTAATCCTATTATGTTTAAGAGCTGGGAAAATATTGTTTGTAATATCTATTTGTCTTGAGGAAAAAATAGAATAAGGAAGCCTATACAAACTGCTGTTTGTTCTGGTGAATCCTGTGCTGTCTGCCGTCTGTTAACCTTTTATATTGAAGCGATAAGCCTGATTTATTTCCGCCTAGTTCAACTATTAAAATGGACTGACGCAACACAAACTGAGAGGTGACCTCGTCTCCTTTTACACAATCAAGGCACCAACGCTGGCTGTGCTGGCAGCCGTGCTCACAGCTGAGGAATCACTGCCAGCCGTGAGAGGAAGGTAAGAGTGCCATTCATCTATTTACAAAATCCCAGAATGTGACTATCCTCCCTAAAGCAATCCTGTTTACATGAACAGGATTAATCAGACAGACTTGTGGGAATCTGAGTATGTTAGGTAAACAAAAAACTTGTTTTCCAGATGTTCCAAAAAAGTGAGAGTGCTCTTCAGCCTGCCCCAAGTCTTCTTCTGGATTGTATTTATTTTAGATGACACTTTCTTTTCCACCTCAACACAATGATCTGAGAACGCATGCAACCTGTCCCGGAGAAAGGACGGACCGACTGTCTCCCACCTGATGGATTATTCTAACTTTAGTCTGATCAGAGATTGCCATTAATATAGTAAAATAAATACATACATTTTTACAAACTGCTAATGTTTTCTGGAACGACATAAGGATGTCCAGAGCAAATAATAGAAGGCAAATGGTTGTTTAACAGTGACCAATTATAAATAAATGTGTGTTTTCTAACCAGACTTGACAATCTGGCTTTTTACATAAACAACAATGAAAACAAGCTTTGAGACATGTTGTTTACCTATCAAAATATATGTCAGGCTCATATATTTACATAACTGTTCAATCTGTCAGTTGTGTAATTATTGCATGGTGTTAGCATGGGATTTCCTATCTCAGATTATTGCATGTCAAGTGTTTGACATTCCAAAGCTTAACACTTACGTCAAGTTGTTTTGAGGAGTAAAAGCCTACCAACACGTTTCATATTAAACATATTCATTCTCCCTTATATGTGGCTCCCGTAATTTATAAAAGGACAAAAAGATATTTTAAAAAAAGGAGTATGTCAGCTTTACCCCAGAAGAAAAAGTGCAAAAAAAAAGCCTTAAATCAAACCAATACTCAACAAGTCTATTATCATGACAGTGAAAACAGCAGATCACTTCCTGTCCATCCTGCACATTCACTTTTTACACAACACGCTCAGAGAACATCAGATATCTCAAGCTCACACTGTGCATGTAACCACAACCAACAGGCACTTACAAATATTTTATAAAATCTCCAAATGATTCCACACAAAGTGTGTGTGTGTGTGTGTGTGTGTGTGTGTGTGTGTGTGTGTGTGTGTGTGTGTGTGTGTGTGTGTGTGTGTGTGTGTGTGTGTGTGTGTGTGTGTGTGTGTGTGTGTGTGTGTGTGTGTGTGTGTGTGTGTGTGTGTGTGTGTGTGAGGGCCGACGGGTCACAGCACTCTGACCCACTAATGAGAGGCAGAGCATAACCACATCAGACAAGAGCCACGCTAAGTAACTGGTCTAATAAATAAATAAAAAGAGCGCCCTAATGCGGACAAAGCGCTCATGCACCACAGTGACAACATGGCACAAATGATAACAGTCTCACAGGGAGCAGCGGCGAGCCGTCTGCAATGCACGACAGAAAAGCTTTAAATCAAATCTGAGTGTGAACCATGAGGAGCATTAAGTCTTCAGTGTGAAATTGTTTTTTAAAGTGATCTCTAGCTTTCAAACAATACATTTCACCTTCCATCCACACACACACACTTT